GGGGGGGGGTTGATGCTAATCAAACTGGTATAATGCAGTAAGAAAGCTGCCAACTACTGATTAGTAGACCAGGGTGCTCTGAACAGTGGTGCGGGTTTCTCACTGCACAAAGCTGCCCAGCTAAGGAGTAAGTAGAAGCTGAAATCCAGTCTATTCTTCAGTTGCCAGGTCTTAGTGTGAGCCTGCATCTGCCCAGAGGAAGGGGCGCTTTTTTCCTGATTGGCAAAAAAGTGACTTACGGGCTAGCAGTCCCTTGGCATCCTGATACCGAAGCGTATACAAATAGCCCAGGGGTTGGGGTAAGGCCCCTGCCTTGGGTGTCTGGGAAGTTCTTATTCATACCCCTGCCTGGGAGGAAGAGAAAAAAGGAGAGAAGCTTTCCCCCTTCTGAGCACAGGGGGTCTGCTGGGACACCACTTACATGCATGTGTTCCTATATGTACACGCAGGCTAGACAGTGATTTCCACTGACCTGCCACCGAGGGTGCCAATTAGTGCTGAAGAAGCAGGTGCCAGGCCCCAAGACCCCAATGGGAGCAGAATGGAAAGTTAGGCTAGAAGCCCACCATGGCAGAATACCTTTGGCATACTTCCAGAAACAGAAACTGGAGGCTCCCAACAGGCAGGCACTGTCGCCAGGACCTCAGGGCACCTGGCCCCAGAAAACCTCCAGAGGTCTATGCCCAGAAGCGGGGGTGCATGGACCCCCGTGCCCTCCCTTTCCCACCATCGCCACAGAGGCCAGCCTCCCCCAGGTGTAACCTGACAGCCCCTTGCCTCAGCTACTCCGTGCAATTGTCACTTTCCGCCAAGGGGCGCCTCTAACCTTTCTGGCATGGCTCACTCAGGAGAACATGCCTAGTGCTCATGCGTGTGCAACCTGGACGTGCCAGGAAGTTAACACCCCAAAGAACAGCCCTTGACTGATGGGGGATAGAAGTCAGTAGATGAATGTTCCCATCCTCCCTCCTGTTCAAGGGATAAATTGTCCCTTGGGTGGATAGTTCTGACGTGTGTTCTACACGGCTCCTCGGAAGTTTCCAGCAGGATGGAGCCCCAAGTCTGTGATACACCCTTATGTCGGCTTTCCCTCCTTACCTGTGATCATTCTCCCCACCCCCTCAGTGTTCCTGGGATCCTTCCTATTAAACTACCTGTGTGCAAGCCCAGCTCAGATAAAAGGGAAGGGGGAAGAATGCTATTCCTTGACGCTCCTGTCCCCGCTCTCTCCTGGAAGGCAAATATAATAACAACAGTGGCAGTCACTCACACAGTCATTTCCTACGTGCCAGGCACTATGCGAAGCCCTCGTCTTGCACCATTTCTTGTCTTCCTCCCAAAGCCCTTTGCAGTATAGGCTGTTGTTACCTCCATTTTGCAGACAAAGAAACTGAGGCTCAGAGAGGTCAAGTCACCTGGCCAAAGCCACACTGTGGCAGAGCAAGGGTTAAGCTCAGCTCTTACTCCAAAGCCCATGACCTTCACCATCCCCCTCTGCCTCCAGGTGAGCACCAAGTTGGCACTATGGTGGAGCTGGGAACCTGGAGCCTGACCAGAGCTGCCCTGATTATCCTGCTGCTCCCCAGAAGTGAGTGTGGCCGGGGATAGGGGTGCCGTGGGGAGGGAGAGGAGTCACAGCGAGAAAGACAGAGTGGGTGGAGGCGGGAATCATTTCCCTGCACTGCCACACTGCTCCTGGGGTCCCCAGAGAACCAAGGCTGGGCCACAGATGTGGGGTAGCCGGCTCCCACCCACAGACCTCTGCGGGAAAACCACCATCCATGAGGAATGGTGAGCGGGCCTGGGCTGGTCAGCCTGGAAAGGGCTGGGTGACGCAGGCCTTGTCTGCAAATCTCTGCCAGGCTGTCAGAAGGAAGCTCTGAGTCCCCTGCAGGCTTCGTGGGCAACCAAGAGATCAGGGTGGGAGCCACAAGGAGGCAGGATTCATCCTGGAGTCGGGAAGCCCAGGCAGAGCTCCCCAACTATGGAAACTCTATCTTGAGAGGTAGAGAGCTTCCCATCTCTGGGGATATGCAAGCCGAGGCCAGGGTTGACAGGGAGGCTGTGCAGCAGGGGCCAGCGCACTTTGCTTGATAGGACTATGGAGGCCACATACAGTCTCTATTGCATGCTGTTATCTGTTTTCTGTTCTGTTTTCACCCTTTAAAAATGTAAAACCCATTCTTCGCTGGCAAGCCATACAAAGCAGGCCACCCTCAGCCCTGCTGAAAAGGATGCAGTGCCTGGCGAAGTTCTGGAGTGCACAGTTTTGCGAGGTCCCTTCCAGTCTGAAATTCTGAGTCTGTGAAGTGATGGGAGCCCCACGTTGAAAGTCATGAACTTGCTTCGTGATCCTGGGAGAATCCCTTCTCCTCTTAGGGCCTCAGCCTCCTCACCGGCAAAACAGGCCCAGGAACACATGACAGAGGAGAGGAGGCATTG